ATGGATCTCTTGCTACAACAGATACTCCACAGCCAGGGTCTATTTTTCTAACCAAAATTGTCTGGTTTTCTGATGTACTGACCTATTTTTATGAATTGTTATAATTTCCATATTTTTTGCCTGAATTTCAGACAAAATTATATGTGCTTACTTTGATTAACTGAGAAGTAACATTTCTTTTGTCTGTACCGTCAAACTTTTTTCAACCCTACCACCCTTAGTCCATGCATAACCCACCTTGATCTGAGAAAATGTGAACGAGAATGGATGAACTATGAAACAGTTGGGTACAAGTACTAACCCTAATTGGGTTGTACCCCATATGGGCTACCCCACTACAGCCTACACAAAAGCATAAGCTATAATGTTCTGACACACCCCCATAGGCAAAGTGGGGGAGAACAAGCGGTCAGAAGACCAGTCAAGCAAAGCAAAGCAAAGCAAGCTCAGGGTGGATCACAAAGTCACCACACATTCCGAGCACAAGTTCAAGGCCACAAGGCCAATTCACATGCATGAGTACATATATATAGAAAGCTAGACAAGCAAGAGCAGGTGTATATATATGTAACAGTACAAGCAAGGTCAAGAAGTGAGCAAGTGAGGCAAGACAGGCACAAGACCAAGCTGAGTACAGAAGCGCTGATGATCACAAGGCGCAAGTGCCTTGGTGAAAACATCAGCAGTGTTGGCCTCAGAGGCCACGTACGCAAGTCGCAACTGACCACGCTGCTGCAACTCACGAGCAAGAAAGTAGCGGAGAGCAATGTGCTTCGTTCTGTGCTCCAGGCGCTGCTCCCGACACAAGGCTAGCATGGCCTTGTTGTCTACGTACAGCACCGGAGGAGAACGAGGCGGCTCTCCGAGGTCAGTCAGCAGGTAGGTAAGCCAGCGAAGCTCCTGTGCAGCCATGGCCCCAGCGTAGATCTCAGCCTCACAACTAGAGCCTGAGAACAGAAGACGAGCGAGTAGCCCGCCACGAAACAGAGCCGGAACCAAGGCTGAAGGTGTAACCCTGTGACGACCGCTGCGTAGCCTGGTCGTCTGCCCAAGAAGCGTCCGCGTGCCCAGTGAGGACCACTGGACTCCGCCCTCCAAGCACTAGCCCCATGCCCGATGTACTACACAAGTAGCGCAACACCCTCTTCGCTGCAGCCATGTGCTCTGGTCTGTGTCTCCCAGAAGCAACATAGCTTGCAAGAATGCTAAGAGGGTATGCAAGGTCAGGTCGTGTGCAGGTCATCAGGTACATGAGGCAGCCAACAAGCTCTGGGTACGGGCCACTCGACTCTACGGACTCATCCGAAGGCAGAGCTGAGAGCGAGTGGCGAGTAGACAGAGGAGTGGCCTGAGGCGAGGAGTACGTGAAGCCGAAGCGCTGAAGGACCTGCTGCACCATGTGTGACTGAGTCAGGGTAATGGTGCGGCGTGCTCTGTCCCGGGTGATCTGCAAGCCAAGGTAGCTGCGCATTTCACCCAGGTCTGTGCACGTGTGTCTCTTCTGCAGCTCGGACTTCACGTGGGCGAGTCCAGCAGTGTCAGCTGTGGCAAAGACCAAGTCGTCGACGTACACGAGGATGTAGAACGGCGGCAGAGAGGTGTCGGTGCGTAGAAACAGCGACGGGTCAGCAGTAGAGGGAGCAAAACCAAGAGCCGCAAGTGTAGTCCTCAGTGTGTCGTGCCACTCGCGCGGTGCCTGGCGGAGACCGTAGACTGGCCGTCGGAGGCTCCACTGGGTGCCACGAGGGAAAGTCCCAGTGAAGCCAGGGGGACGGCGCAACCAGATCTCCTCGTGCAGGCTACCAGGCAGGAAAGCAGTGCTGAAGTCAAGGGAGTGAAGCTCGTAGTCACGCTGAGCGGCTACGTGTAGCAGCACCCAAAGAGTGGTCATCTTCGGGGTGGGAGAGAAGGTCTGAAAGTAGTCAACTCCCTGCCGCTGACTCAAGCCAAAAGCCACGTACCGCGCCTTGAAGACAGGTGGAGAGCCCGGCGGCCGCTTCACCCTGAAGATCCACATGCCACTGACGATGTTCGCCCCAGGAGGGGGAACCGCGTCAACGTAGGTGCGTGTGGACTTCCAGGAAGCCATCTCTGCATCCATAGCTGCCTGCCACTGAGAGGAGTAGGGACCCTCTACGGCCTCCGCGTAAGAGCGCGGAGTCGGGATGTCTAGTGCATCCGGGTCTCCCTCAGGAGCAAGCAGTACGGACGCGAGATGAGGTGAAGCAGCAGCCAGACACTGGAACTCCTCCTGCCTGTCCTCAAGGACGTCCGTGCCAAGAGCACACTCACCCCCGACGGACGGAGGACAGACAGACACAGACTCAGCAACAAGACGAGCAGCGTAGTCTAGACGACAGCGAGCAGCAAAGTCGACGAGCTCAGCAACAAGAGCAGACGCAGCAGTGGACGCAAAGGAGGGGTCAGTGACGACAGTAGCAAGGAGACGCGTGACAGTAGGACTGGCAGCACGAAGAGAGTCCGACTCAGGGTCGGCAAGCACAGGAAGAGAGGACTCAGGAGGAGAGGGCAAAGGGGCACGTAGAGGAGCAGTGGACGGACGCAGAGACATCCGGTGCGTGCCAGGGACAGGAGGAGGACGCTGACGCGAACTGCGACCACTAGTGCGAGCAGCACGAACAAGCAACGCAGGACGAGACGCAGGCTCACGACGCTCAGCAAGACCTTTAGTAGGACCAGTGTACGGAGAAGGAGAAGGCAGAGGGGAGGCCGGCGGTAACTGTGACTGCGACTGGACAGACGATGGACACTCTAAGGGAGGAGGAAGACCAAGAACCTACTGAAGGAGCGGAACAAAGTACGGCCGAGGCCGCGCGGCGACTCCAGACACAGCAGGGACAGCACCAGCACCCCCAGCGGCAGCACCAGCGTCAACAGCACCTCCAGCTCCAGTACCTCCAGCAGCACCAGTAGCACCCGCAGCAGGACCGTCGCCAGGACTGACAGCAGTAGCCTCAGCGCCAACACCCTCAGCAGCTCCGACTCCAGTAGCCCTCGCAGGACTAGCACCTCCGAAGACCGGCAGCACCAGCACCCTCAGCAGCCGAAGAAGCACCAGCTCCAGCAGTACGCCTCCAGCGCCGGGCAAACCACTCGCGCAGCTCCTGTGGAGAGAGTGGCTCCCGCCGAGACGAAGCACCCGGAGAACCAGCAGGCCCAGCACCGCTAGACGCCACCCGAGCAGGTCCAGCGGCCGCGGGCTCCGCACCCCCAGGCGCAGTAGCTCCAGACTCAGCACCCTCAGGCTCAGCAGCTCCAGACGCAGCACCCCCAGGCGAAGGACCTCCAGGCTCAGCACCCCCAGTCGTAGCACCCCCAGGCTCAGCACCCCCAGTCGTAGCACCCCCAGGCTCAGCACCCCCAGGCTCAGCACCCCCAGACTCAGCACCCCCACGCTCTGCACCCACGCGCGCAGCACCCCCAGAGTCAGCACCCCCAGGCTCAGCACCCGCAGCAGTACCAGAGTCACCGGCAACCTCGACCGGCCCGACTGCATCTACCTGGGACACACCTGAAGGGGCAGGACCCTGAGGGGGGAGGGGGTCTACCGGGGGGGGACCTGGCACAAGGAAGTGCGGTGGCAAGGGAGGGAAGGAGTGCGGTAGGGGAAGAGGCGATAGTAGGGGACTGACTCGTCGAACGTGACGTCCTGGGAGGACAGAACACGACGAGAGGTGGTGTGGTAGAACTGCCACCCAGGGGCGTCAGGGGGGAAGCCAAGGAAGACACAGGGAGCAGCACGAGGGGACAGCTTGTCCGGAGACAAGTCGCGGACAAACGCCCGAGATCCCCAGACACGGAACGCAGACGCATCGCCGACCTTCCCTGTCCACAGCAAGGCTGGGGAGGTCTCCGGCCTGGAGACCCTGGGGTGAAGGTTGATCTGATGCGCCGCGTACCGAACCGCAAACGGCCACAGAAAATGGGGGGCAGCCGCATGCATCATGGACGTACAAGCGACGTCCATGACCATGCCAATGCGGCGCTCAGCAATCCCATTTTGCTGTGGAGAGTCCGGAAGCGTAAAGGTCTGGCGGATGCCTCGCGCATGACAGTAGGCTCGCAGAAGGCCAGAGGAGAACTCTCCGCCTCGGTCAGAGTGCACGCCATGTGTGTGATGTTATGTTGGCTGTGAAACTGTGAACGGTAGGCGTTGATTGGTAGATTGACGCGGCATGTGTGATGTTATGTTGGCTGTGAAACTGTGAACGGTAGGCGTTGATTGGTAGATTGACGCGGCATGTGTGATGTTATGTTGGCTGTGAAACTGTGAACGGTAGGCGTTGATTGGTAGATTGACAGATTTTGACAGATTGACAGATTGACCAATCGGAGAGCTCAGACACTCCACGCTATATCGCCTAAGAAGGTGGAGTTTCATCTTCACCTTCCCTAGACGGTTTCCACCCCTATGTAAACTACCTGTCAAGATTCCTTCGACAAAGCATTAGGAATTCGATAAACAGACCAATACCCTGGACATTGCACAGAAAACACAAGTCTGCTTTTAAAATTCAAGGTCATGCATCAAACTTTTTTTTTTTTTTTTTTTTTTTTATTGCAGGTCTAAAGGAAAAGCCAATTCTGAAATTCATAACTAACAACATGCTCAAGGTCTAAAGGTCTAAAACCAATAAAAGGTCTATCAACACATAGAGATTTATCTGTATTTATGTTATAGTGGGGTATGCTTTAGGGGTACACCAACTTTCTCGACTCTTTTCTTGTTCCCTTGCCTTGACCTAATCCACCTGTTCTCCTAAGTTTCTAACATGATATAGAGCAGGCAGTTCCGTTAGGACCGTTTTTTTTTTCCGCCCCTTCCACTGCCCATAGCGTGCCCCTAAGACGTGCCCTCTAGCTGCCCGTTGCGCGCATCTAGTGCGCTTCGCTTGATTTTCTACCTGGAACGCGCCCTTATTGAGTGTTTTAGTCCCCACCCTGTGTGCGCCTTGATCGCTGTCCGTAGCGCGCCCCGTATGCTGCCTTGCGCGTGCCGCGTGCGTGCCGCCCTGCCCTGCTGCCCGCGCTACAGGCTGCCCTGCACACTGCGCTGCGCACGCCACTCTGCTCTGCCGCGCGTGCTGCAGCATGCCCTGCACACTACATTACACCCGCTGCCCTGCCCTGCCGCCCGCACTGCACCTTGCCCTGCAGGCTGCGCTACGCGCGCCGCTCTGCCCTGCCACCAGTGCTGTAGCCTGCCCTGCACACTGCGCTACGCGCGCCCCCCTGCCCTGCCGCCCGCGCTGCAGCCTGCTTTGCACGCTGCATTGTGCGCGCCGCCCTGCCTTGCCGCCCGCGCTGCACTTTGCCCTGCACGCTGCGTTGCGCGCGCTGCCCTGCCCTACCGCCCGCGCTGCAGCTTGCCCTGCACACTGCGCTGCGGGCGCCGCCGTGCCTTGCCGCCCGCACAGCAGCTTGCCTTGGACGCTGCCCTACGCGCGCCACTGTGGCTTGCCCTGTTGAGTTGCGGCCTGCTGCTGCCCTGCTGCCGCCCGCTCATTGCCCTACTCAGCGCTGCCCGTGCGTTGCCCACACTGTTAGCACGCACTGCACGGCGCTGCTCTGGCCGTCACGCCACTGCTGCCCTCTCAAGGCCTGAACAGCCCTGCTTTCCTTGCTACTGCCGCTCAACTAGTGTCCCCACCCTTCTACCATAGCTACCTGCACGCTGCTCCTACTCGCACCTCCTACTATGGCGACTCCCGTTGTACTGGAGTCTGACGTCGAGGTAGCCCAGTTGATTACGAGACCTGGCTCGAGGGGCTTCACTTGTACTTGCTGAGCGTTAACAAAGATGACGTATCTCTGTTTGAGCATTTCAACAGTGCCCGACCCCTCCGTGCCAGCAGATGTGCAGCAGCGGTATAAGTCCTATTACACAGCTAGTACTTAGTGGTTAGCACACGACGCCACTTCAGCGCTTGCCGTCCGCAGCCATCTCCTGGCCCGACCAGCGCACCCACTTTTGCCAGCTGAAATTTGCTAAAGCGCTCTATGATACCGTAGTGAAGCACTATTCCTCTCCCTCCTCTGCCGCCCTAGGTCTCCTGCTACCGCTGTACCTCTTTCCTGAGCTGTCACACTTCGCCATTGTCACTGACCTCATGACTCACTTGTGCACCAGCGACCTTCGCTACCGTGCTGCTCTCAAGCCAGAGTTTCTGGCTACGAACCCTCCCTCGATGTACATCAATCTCTACTTCCTAGTGACCCGTCTCCCTGAATCCCTTCGCCCCATTAGTGACCACTTCCTTTCTCTCGACCCCACTGAGCTCACCCTAGCCTCCTTTGAGCCACGTCTCTTAGAGGCTGAGACCAGTTCCCATGCTGTAGCTGACTCCCGTGGTTCTCCCCGCACCTCTTTTTTTTAGGTGTGTCCTCCTTCTCTCCTTACGCATTTTGTTGCCTCTGCTACTACTGTTGACTTCCTCAGTGCTGAAGTAGCTGGTGCGGCGTCCGCTGCTAGCGAGAGACCCAACAAGGGTGGGCGTCAGAAGGGCAAGGGTGGTGGGGGTGGCGGCGGGGGTGGTGGTGGTGGAGGTAGTGGGGGCGGTGGAGGTGGTGGTGGCGGGGGTGGTGGGAGTGGCGGGGGTGGTGGGAGTGGCGGGGGTGGTGGGAGTGGCGGGGGTGGTGGCGGCACTGTGGGTGGCGGAGGCGGCTCGGGTGGTGGTCGTGGTGGAGGTAGCGGGGTTGGAGGCCAGGGAGCTACGTCAGGGCGCACAACTGGTGGAGGCGGAGGTTCTGGAGGTGGCCAGCAGCAGCAGTTGTGTCGGCAGGAAACACTCTCAACGTAGTAGCTGCGTGAGTGGGTAGTCCAGCTAGGTGGCCCCGGAGGAGGCGATCGTTGCACCTACGTCAGACGCACGGGTCCACGCGCAGAAGACGTCTACGGCAGGTCAGGTCTCGGTGAGGCTTGCTACTTCTGCCGCCTTGAGGACGCTTTCCGCGAGGAGTTCGGTAAGAAGGCAGAAGTGCCTAACTGTTTAGGATTGCTCAGGAAGAACATCGATGTGTTTGCTCTTGATTGGGACCAGATCCTTGCTGGCATGCATGCTATGTATGCCGCGTCTGCTAGTGTTGAGGGTGACTATTACTTGGGTGCTCCTAGTTCTAGTGGTGTAGTGCCTGCAAGTGTAGGTGCCCGCAACACTGCGATCATAGGTGCAGTTCTGGCGTAGGCTTTGCTCACCTTCACGTTAGACTCGGGCGCGTCTTGTTGCTTCTTCTGTGACTGCACCACGGTCACACCACTCACCACATCTTTCCCCGTCACTCTGGCCGATCCCTCCTCTGGCTCAGTCGTTGCACAAGGTACCACTGTTCTCCCATGTCCGGCAATCCCCTCTGATTCCCTCACGTGTTTCCACCTCCCCTCGTTCGCTACGAACTTGGTGAGTAACGCTGTCCTCTAGGATCACTTGGCCACTACCACCACTTCTAGAGGCGAGGTTGTGGCGATCTGTACGCACTCGGTGACTCGCGTCCACCTCGCCACGTTCACTCGGAGACCTGGGTCTGGCCTGTACACACTACACTTGAGTCCGCACACTTCGCTGCTTTTGGTCAGGTAGCTGCGTCTTGCTCGTGTCGGCTACTCATGCACCCGTCTCTCCTCTGGCACCACCGTCTTAGTCACCCCTCATTGCAGTGCCTACGTCGTATACACTCCTGTCTTCTTGTCTCTGGCCTTCCGAGGTCCCTGCCTCCTCTCCCACCGTCTCTTGTGCAGCCGTGCACTCCCTGCATCGAGGGGCAGCAGTGCGCGCCGCTCCTCACTCCTCCTCGTTCCCTCCAACCACTGCTCCTTTGCAGACCCTGCACATGGACGTGTGGGGCCCAGCCCCCGTCCCTAACTGGACTGGGAGCGCTACTTCCTACTGGTCGTCGACGACTAGACGCGCTACACGACGATGTTTCCTTTGCGACGCAAGGGTGACGTCCGTCTTGTTCTGATCCTTTGGATCCGCCCACAAGCATATGCTTCGTGAAGACCATAACGACGACTAGTGAAGCGCAACTGTATACCGACCTTATATCATGCGTTAGCTCATAAAGGACGTTCGTTGGTGAGTTGCTCAACAATTTATAATCTCACATGAACTATTCAAACCGGGAGTATATCCCAAATTAATTGCCAAGTGTTAGCGTCGATGCACCGCTTGATTGCGATCTCTTTGAAAAATGCTCAAACGGGATCCGTCGACATCTAACACCCTCCATATAAATTGACACTAGACTCGCCAACTTCTCCGCAATCTTCTTGACCCATCACGACAGCCTCGACTTGCAAACGTCGTCACAGCAATGCGACTTGCATCAAGGAGTACCGTCTAGCTCAATTAGTTTGAATCACATGTCTGATTCCTGCTCTTCCACCATTGTAGCACGTAGATTCTTTCTGGATATGGGTTTGTGATTCAGCACATAATGTGTGAGAGTAGCAGACTTGAATTAAAAAAAAAAAAAAATTGGTAGGTGAAATATGCACTATACACGTACAATGCAAAAACACCGCGGTCGTAACTGTAGCTAGAGGGCATAGGTAGTGTAAACTACCGTACCCTCGCAGATACCTACGGAGGCTTATAGACCAAACGCCTAAATATTTGAGCTTGCCTGCCACAAAGTCCTATTGTGCCATTGTCACCCTTCAGCACCGGCAGAAACAACTCGTTGTAACCCTCATATTGGTTGTGTCGCTTCGGCTTTGGTGGTTTGGCTTCTCCGAACCTGCCTTGCCGAGTCTCTTGAGATTGGTTTGAAAAAGATCTTGCCCTGGTTGGATGTTGCTGCCAAACAGGATGGCGAAAGGGTCTCATCGCTGTTGCAATCACTCTCGACAGCTTCTTGAGTGGTGTGACAGGAGCTATCTCGGCTGCATGAGGTAAAAGTGCAGCAGCAGCCATGGTTGCTCCTCCTCCAAGCATACAAGGGGGGAGACTCCAAGAAATTGCTCTCTCTCCATAGGAAAAACAACACGAAGCTTGTAAATCCATGGAAAGCCGCCATGAACCACCATCGTCTAGTTGCAAAACGACTTCTTGTAACCTCTCGTCCGTTGGAATAGCTGAGCGTGTTCAAATCTTCCGTCAAACTTATATGCTATAGTCTGTGTAGGCTGTAGTGGGGTCGTTCATATGGGGTACAACACTTTTAGGTTTTCCTACTTGTACCCACCTGCTTCCAAGTTCATTCACTTCTCGTTCTATTCTTCACATGGTTTCTGAGCAGGTTCCCTAGTGGGAACGGTTTTTTTTAGGGCCCACCACTATAATTTATTTTTCCTACCCTGCCCGAAGCGGGCTGTCGCGCCTGCCTCACCTGCGCCGTCCTGCGCCCTGCCCTACTGCCGCCTGTCGCGGCCCTGCCCTATGCGCGCGCTCACGCGCCCGCCCTACCTGCAGCCGCCGTCTCGCGCCTGCCCTGCCCTGCTGCCCGTCGCGGCCCTACCCTACACGCCCGTCGCGGCCCTGCCTACCCCGCCCGTCACGGACCTGCCCGACCCGCCAGTCGCGGCCCTGCCCTGCCCGCTGTTGCGGCCCTGCCCTGCCCGCCCGTCGAGCGCCGGCCCTACCCACCCGTCGAGCGCCTGCCCTACCCGCCCGTCGAGCGCCTGCAGCCGCCAGTCGAGCGCCTGCCCTACCCGCGCTAGTCGCGCGCCTGCCCTACACGCCGCCGGAGGCACCTGCCCTACCCGCCCTTGGTGAGCACCTGCCCTACCCACGCTACCCGTGTGCCTGCCTGCCTGCCGAGCCGCGCCGCCCAGCCGAGCCGCGCCGCCCTGCCGAGCCGCACCACTCTGCCGAGCCGCGCCACACTGCCCTACTGAGCCGCGCTGGCCTACTGCTTCTGCTGCTACTGCGCCCACTGCTGCTACTGCCGCCATGGCTAGCCCTACGGTTCTTACCTTCGATGCTGAGGGTCGTGCAGTTGACTTCAATGTCTGGGTAGATTATCTGCAGCTGTTTGTTCAGTGCGATTCTAAGAATGGAGTCTCGCTTTTCGATCTCACGTCTGGCGCCTCTGCTGCACCTATTGCCGATGCTGACAGTACAGTTCGCTCGCAGTGGACCACTCGTGACGCTGTTGCTCGCCTTGCTGTTCGTAGTCCCTTGCCTTCTGCTAAGCGCACACACTTTGGCCAGTACAAGACTGCTAAGTCTTTGTATGACGCTGACGTAGCGCGCTACTCCTCCCCTGCCACTACTACCCTCAGCCGCCTCATGCTACCGTACCTGTTCCCTGACCTGGCCGCCTTTGCCACAGTCACTGACCTCATTACTCACCTCCGCACTAGTGATGCCCGCTACCGTGCTGCACTTCCCTCTAAGTTCTGCGCCAAGAACCCCCCCCCCCCCCCCCATGTACATCACCCTCGTCTCCCTGACTCCCTTTCCTCAGTCAAGGACCACTTTCTCTCCCTTTGCACCACCGAGCTTACTATCGAATTGCTAGAGGAGTGCCTCACTGCAGCTGAGAACAGTATAGTTGCCGTAGGTGCTTCTCGTGGCGGCCCTCGCGCCCCGTTCTTTGAGGGGTGTTCCCCCGTTCCCCTTCTGCCCTCTGTTGCCTCTGCTGCTGTTGTCGACCTCCTTGGCACTGAGGAGGTCGGGGCTGCGTCTGCTCCTAGTGGGAGGCGCCGCAGCAGCAACGGCTAGGGGGGCAAGGGTGATGGAGGGGACGGCGGGGGCGGCGGTGGTGGCGGTGGAGGAGGAGGAGGAGGAGGAGGAGGGGTTGGGGGTGGAGGCAAGGGTGGTGGTGGGAGTGGGGGCGTCGGTGGCGGTGGTGGAGGTGGTGGAGGCAGCGCCAGCAATGGTGGAGGCAGCGGCAGCAGGCGGTGGAGGCAGCAGCGGCGGCGGTGGAGGTGACGGCAGTGGTGCTGGTCGGGGTGGAGCTGCGCAGCGTGGAGGCTTTGGCGGTAGCCAGCGCCAGCAGCAGCCGCGTTCCCGCGAGACCCCGTCGCCTCAGCAGCTTCGTGAATGGTACGCTGGGCGTGGGAGGTCTGGGGGTGCTGGTCCCTGCACTTGCGTTCTCCGCACCGGCGGTCGCCGTGGGGAGACGTGCGGAGGGCCACACACGTCGCAGCGCTGTTTCGGTTGCCTGTCTGACGCCTGGCGCGCACAGTTTCCTGACGCCGCTAAGCTCCCTAGCTGGGCTGATCTGCTTAGGCAGAATGTTGATATCTTTGCTCTTGACTATGATGCTATCCTTGCTGCCATGTATGCTGAGGGTGACTGTTACCTGTGTGTGCCGCCTGACCCAGGTATAGAGTCTAATGCTCTAGGTGCTGGTGAGGCTGCTGCTCTAGGTGCTAGTGAGTCTGCTACTTCAGGTGCTGGTGAGTCTGCTCTCTCTGGTACTGCGCCTGCTGAGGCCTTGCACACCTTCACACTTGACTCCGGTGCTTCTCGCTCCTTCTTTTGCGACAGCACCACACTCACGCCGATCAGTCGGCCAGTTGCAGTCTCCCTGGCGGACCCTTCGGGGGGTCCAGTCCTTGCGCACTCCTCCACGGTCCTGCCGTGTCCTGCGGTCCCGTCTGGCTCACTGTCGGGTCTTCACCTCCCCTCGTTCTCTACAAACTTGGTGAGTGGAGCTGACCTCCAGGATGCATGGGTTGACCAGTTCACTCCTGGAGGTCAGCGTGTGACCCACTGTACGTGCTCCCGGACGGGCCAGCACCTGGCCACGTTTACCCGTGCGCCTTGCTCGAGTCTGTACACACTGACTACTGCGTCCCCTCATATAGGTGCGTATGCGTTTGCGTCCGGTCAGCTAGCGCCCCCCTGCTCGTGTCGTGCTTTGTCGCACCAGAGCGTCCTCTGGCACCACCGTCTTGGTCACCCCTCGGTGCACCGCCTTCGTGGCATGCACCGACGTGTCCTTGTCTCTGGTCTTCCCATGGTTCTCCCTCCCCTCCCACCCTCGCCTGCTCCTCCCTGTCTTCCCTGTGTCGAGGGGCGGCAGCGCGCCACTCCTCACTCCTCCTCGTTTCCCCCGACGACTGCTCCCCTGCACACCCTCCACATAGACGTATGGGGCCCAGCCCGCGTTCGTGGACAGGACCGCGAGCGGTACTTTTTGCTGGTAGTTGACGACTATTTGCGTTACACCACGGTCTTCCCTTTGCGCACCAAGGGTGAGGTCCCTGATGTTTTGATCCCTTAGATCCGCACTG